GGGTGGTAGGGGGGAGCGGGGGGGGGGTGTGGGGGGGTCCGTGGGGGGTTTTGGGAGGTTTTGGGGGAGGCTATGGCAGCACCCTGTTGCTGGATGCCATGCTCGTGGTAACTGGGAGCACTGGGAGGGTCTGGGGGGGCTCTTTGGGGGGCTTTGGGGGGTTTTGGGGGAGGTTATGGCAGCACCCCGCTGCTGGATGCCATGCTCGTGGTAACTGGGAGCACTGGGAGGGTCTGGGGGGGCTCTTCCCTGGGGGGTTTTGGGGGGTCCTGTGGGAGGTTATGGCAGCACCCCGCTGCTGGAGGCCGTGCTCGTGGTAACTGGGAGCACTGGGAGGGTGTTCCTCTTTTGGGGAGGGATCCCTGAGCCTCTCCCCCTCCCCCCTTTCCCCGAGAATTCCCTGCTGGCCTGCGAGTTCCTGCTGCAGAACGGGGCCAGCGTCAACCAGAGCGACAGCCGCGGCCGGGGGCCGCTGCACCACGCCACCATGCTGGGACACACCGGGTGTGTACTGGGAGCGACTGGGAGGGACTGGGAGCGACTGGGAGGGACTGGGAGCAACTGGGAGGGACTGGGAGCAACTGGGAGGGACTGGGAGGGACCCAGGCTCTCTACTGCTCCTGGTCCAGCTACGGTGACTGGGAGGGACTGGGAGGGTCTGGGAGGGACTGGGAGGGACTGGGAGGGAACTGGGAGGGACTGGGAGCAACTGGGAGCAACTGGGAGGGACTGGGAGGGGGCCCTGCATTCACCCCCATTTGGTGAATGGTGGCACCTCTCACCCCTAAAGCGGATGTGGATGAAGCTAAGCAGGGTCTGCCCTGGTCAGTGCCTGGATGGGTGACCTGAATGGGTTATTTGAAGAGGGTTCACCCTCTTTTTTTGGAGGGTGGTTTATTTCATTTTGGGGGTTCTGCTGCTCTTTAGGAGTTGTTATTGCCTTTTGTAGGGGTTCCTGTTCTGATTTTGGGGTGCTGCTATTTGGGGGTAGTGCCTAAATACCTTTGGCGGGGCAGTCCCTGTTCTCTTGGGCTGTGCTTTTTCCATTTAGAGGGTTTGCCTTTTATTATTGGGGGTCTGTGTTTTTTTAGAGAGTCCCTATTTCATTTTTGGGGGTCCCTATTCCATTACTGGGGGTCCCTTTTCCCTTTTGGGGGTGCAAAACCCCCCAAATCTCCCAAAAGTCACCCCATTTTGTGGGGTCCCTAGCATAATTTTCCACATGGGAAGCTAAGCAGGGCCCACCTCAGTCAGCACCTGGATGGGTGACCTCAACCTCGCTGCGTCCCCTTGAATCCCAGCATCCCCTCCCAACCCCAATGTCCCCCGAATGTCCCCCAAAATGTCCCCAAAATGTCCCCTCGATGTCCCCCTCCCCAAATTCCAGCCTGGCCTGCCTGTTCCTGAAGCGGGGGGCCGACGTCAACGCGGTGGATGCGGACGGGAGGGACCCCCTGACCATCGCCATGGACTTGGCCAACGCCGACATCGTCACCTTGTGAGACCCCCGGGGGGCGCCCTTGGGTGGGGGGGGGCACCCCAAATCTGACCCCCCCAAATCTGACCCCCCAAATCCCCCCCCAGGCTGCGATTGGCCAAGATGCGAGAGCTGGAGGTGGCCCAGGGACAGACCAGTAGGTTTGGGGGGGGTCTCTGGGATTTTGGGGGGGATCCCTGGATTTGAGGGGTCCTGAGGGGCATCAGGGGCAGAGTTTTGGGGGGTTTGGGGTGTTTTTGGGGGGGTCCTCCAATCCTCAGGGAGGTTTCTCAAGTTTGGGGTGGCCTTGGAGGAGGGATTGGAATTTCATGTGGATTCTCGGATTTTGGAGGATTCACGTGAGAGTTTTGGGGTGGAATCTCTGGATTTTGGGATGGATCCCTGATTTTTGGGGTCCCAATTCGGGGGTCCCCTCCCCTGCCCCCCCCAGGTGACGACACCTACCTCGACATCTTCCGCGACATCTCCCTGATGGCCTCGGACAACCCCGAGAAGCTCGCCCGGACCCCTCCCCCCAAACACTCCACCCTTTAGCCCCGCCCCCTCGGCAAACCACACCCCTTCAGCAGAACCACGCCCCCTCAGTAAAGCCACGCCCCCCCTCCGGCAGCAGCCAATGGAATAAAGTCTTGGTTTGACCAAAATTCACTTGGGTGGTCTAGAACCAAACCTGATTTGGGTGACCTAGAACCGACCCCGCCCGGAATCTTCCCCCAAAATTGGGGATCCCAAAATTGGGGGTCCTAAAATTGGGGACCCCAAAATTGAGAATCCCAAAATTGGGGATCCCAAAATTGGGGAGCTCCCTTGGGTGACCTGGAACTGAATCCCCCCAACATGGAAACCCCAAATGAGTGATCTAGAACTGACCTCCCAATGGTTGGGTGATCTAGAACACCCCCACACCCTCCCCCCAAATTTTGGGGGGTCCCTCTGACCTTCCCCTCCCCCAAATCCCGCCCCATTGGTGCACCTAGAACCGTCCCTCCCCAGCCCCCCCAAAGGACGAGAGCCGGGGCCGCATTTTGGGGTCACACGGGGGGGCTCAGGGGGGGCTCGGGGCAGGGTGAGGATGAGGAGGCTCGCGGCCAGGAGGAAGGCGCCGGCCGCCAGGAAGGACACGGTGAAGTCGCCGGTGACGTCCCGCAGCCAGCCTGGGGAAAATGGCAGCGTTGGGGGGGGGGTCTGGAACCCCCAAAAATGTAGGTTCTAGATCACCCAACCCCATTGTCAACCTTCCAAATGAAGGGTCATGGTGGGTTCTAGGTCACCCAACCAATCCATGACCCCCAACCCACCCTTGGGTGCTCCCCCAATGGGTTCTAGGTCACCCAACCCAACTGGAACCCCTGGTCCACCCTTTGGTTCCTCCCCCAGTGAGTTCTAGGTCACCCAACCCATCCGTGACCCCACCCAAGCCTTGTGTGCTCCCCCAAAGTGTTCTAGGTCACCCAACCCATCCATGACCCCCACCCAAGCCTTATGTGCCCCCCAAAGTGTTCTAGGTCACCCAACCCACCCATGACACCACCCACATCCATGACCCCCACCCAAGCCTTGTGTGCCCCCCAAAGTGTTCTAGGTCACCCAACCCATCCATGACCCCCACCCAAGCCTTGTGTGCCCCCCAAAGTGTTCTAGGTCACCCAACCCATCCGTGATCACCCAGCCCATCTTTGGGTGCCCACCCATTGGGTTCTAGGTCACCCAACCTAACTGGAACTCCCACCCAAGGCTTGGGTGCTCCCCCAATGGGTTCTGGGTCATCCAACCCAAGTGGAACCCCCAGTCCAAGGCTTGTGTGCCCCCCCATGTTGTGTTCTAGGTGACCCAACCCATCCATGACCGCTTAGCCCATCCTTGGGTGCTCCCCGTGTCGGGTTCTAGCTCACCCAACCCCCTCCATTTCCGCCCACTCCCCACCTTTGAGTTCTAGACCCCCCAACCCCCCCGTACCCGCCAGGGGCGCCCCCAGCAGGGACCCCACGCTCTCGAACATCTGCATCACCCCGATGGCCAACGCCGCCCGGCCGGCCCCGACCACCTCGGCCACGCCGGCGAACTGCAGCGGCGCCACGGCCCCGG